CTTCTTCGTGGATTTTTCGAATAACAACGGTAACTGATTAATAGATTGATAAGGAAAAATTTGGCATTACTTATGCTGAGCTTATAAACTTAATTCTTCAACGTGGTCAACTCTGCGCATGCCGCGCCCTCCACCACCGTAAGCAGCCTTCAAGATAATGGGAGTTCCATACTGCTTGGCGAACTCGACAGCTTCTTCCGCCGTAAGTAATTGGTCCTGGGGTTCCAGGAACTACTTGCACACCAGCTTCAATAGCCGCTTGACGTGCTGCCACCTAAACATGAAATTAGTTGCTTAACGAACGCTCGAAAGAGAACTCAAATGCTTTACGAACATGAAACTTCAGGAGCTTAAGGCATTTTCTGTGGCTAGTAATTGTTGAAAGATACCTTGTCTCCCATGCGTGCCATAACATCCGGACTTGGGCCAATGAATGAAATCCCCGCATGGATACAAGCACGTGCGAAGTCGGCTCGCTCGGATAAGAAACCGTAACCAGGATGAATCGCATCCACGTTGTGCTAGAAAAAACTATTTGTGCTTTTTCTAGCTGAGTTTTTTTTTCGTGAATCCGAGAAAAAGAAGGACCTGTAGAGCGGTGTCAATAATCTGATCTATAGTGAGATATGCCGCAACAGGCGGAAGTCCTTTACCGACTAAGTAACCTTCGTCTGCCTTCAATCGATGCATCGAATGTTTATCCTTAAAAAATAATTAATTATACAGATTAATAGGAAATATTCTACTATTATGTCACAGACTCGTTTTGTCTCGTGTCTAGGAAACGACGACATAAGTATTCTGAAGTCTTTTCCAATAGGGAAGGGGAGAGGTGAGAAACAGTGGTGCGACACTTCACGCTGCCTACAGAAGTTACAAACTTGTTGCAGGGTGAAGAAGCTCCTGAAACGGGTGTAAAAAACAGAAGCAAAATAGTCCCTGTAGGTTTTCTTCCCATGGACAAAATTGGAATTACTACAGGCGGCACGACCTGTCACATAACATGTGCCACCCTACAAGGGAGGTCGTTCAGGTGTGCCAAGCTTTTTCAAAGGCACATATGGGGACCACAAACATGGTTCATTTTTCCTGAACGGCTCTCTGAATACCAGAAAAGGGGTCCCTAGTTCGATTCCTCGTGGTGACAAGTTTTTGCATTTCGTGTTGACGTTTCCAAATTCGCGCAAAATGGAGTTAGCATGAATAATTAGTACCATATTCATGATTAGGACGTCAGTAACCCTTACAAATAGACTTTGATTGAAAAACTGGTGAAAAAGGGACCCCCTTTTCTGGTATTCAGAGGGCCGTTCAGGAAAAATTAACCATGGTTCTGTGGTTCCCGCATGTGCCTCTATATCATGCAAAAGACCGTTTTGAAAAAGCTTGGCACACCCTGAAAGACCTTCCTTGTTAGTGAAAGTCCCATTTTTGCAAAATATTCAAGAAGTGCCCAAAATCCTACCTGTTCACTATAAATTGCTACAGACGTCATTCGTAATTCAGAAAGAGCTCGAAATACACGGATAGCTATCTCTCCTCGATTTGCCACCATCACCTGAAAAACCGTGATAATCAACCAGTTAAAGGAATCTTGCGCGGAAAAATCATGATTCTATTTCAGCCATAAATCACTGGCTTGAGACTCATTATCCACGATAATAGTGAAAAGAACTGAAGTATTGCTTTCGTTTTGATTAGAAATTCGAAAACTCGAAAAGGCTGCTACGCGTTCGAATTGCCCACGGACGTCTTTCACGAATGCTGGCGACGGGGATGCTCAAACTTGGTTCTTGGAGTGCATTCACTAGAAGCTCTTTCTGGCCTTCTGCTTCGTTGCATTCACATCTTACACTTCTACTCCATCCTATTCCATCGATCGATTTGTCTCCACTCTCCGAAATCGCGCGCTTTAACCCGATTCTCTCATTGCGTCGCCTGGTACGTAGCCGGCCAAACGCCGTCTTCTTTCCATGCCTCGCCTGGCTCTGCCTCCTGGTCCTTCGATGGTCCATAACGTGTAGTTTTTGTACGTTTGTTTCTCTTCAGAAACCGAATCTTCATGCGTGAAACTTTGTGTGCTATTTCCAGTGATCACAACTGACATATTCATGTTAGGAAAGAGTGCAAGAATTTTCCGCGCAAGATTCCTTTAAGTCACCACTGTATAATCGGGAAAAAATAGATTTTCTATGCTATAATGGTTTTCACAAAATTATAAAATCAGTTAGTCACAGTATCCACGTCTAAAAGGTCCGTCGTTATTGAAACCCTAAGGAGGTTACCGTTCATCTACCCGAATTCGGAGTAGCGTTCATGCAGCAGATTCTGCACCTCCCTGGCAGTAAAAGGCCACCTTGCAGAGTCGCGCACACTTGTGCGTGCTGCAGGCGCTGCATCATTTTGGACGACACCTCTTTCACTCTTTCCCGTCCTCATACAGACTCGTACTATTTCGTCGCGTGTGCGTCTGAAGCATTCCCGAATTAAGGCCCTGATCCAACGATCTTCTGAGGTCAGTCGGGAAGCATACTGAGTAGAGAAAGCCTAAGCTTAGTTTCTATTTGGCTGCCTCTGATCGATAAATTCCTGCCTTTGTGCTTGACGTGAGATCAACAAATCAACAGTTCACCTTTCATACGGTTATTTTTTGGCCCAGTTTTGAAGAACTCAACCACCACATAGATCAATCACAATTTTACCATAGGAAAATGCAGAGACAAAGAGATCAAAGGGTATCCAGCAACGTTTCATTACAGTAATTTCCCACTTAGCAGTCGAACAAGATTGAATAATTAAACGCGTTTGACTGAGCCCACAGCCAATGACGGGCATCCCACACCACTTCTGCTACTACTTCACCTCGAGAGGCCTTCTGATCAATGTCGTTGTCGCGCAATGGCGTGAACAAGTAGGGTACCTGACAAGAGGCCCGCCGCGTGGCAGGAAGGCAGAGTCATCGGACGAGTCGCAGCGCGTGATGTGCGATGTAGGACGTACAATGGTACATTCTATTAAAAAAATCCTATAGTACGCGCTGCGACTCGTCCGCTTACACTGCCTTCTCGCAGCGCGACGGGCTTCCTGTCGGGTTCCCGAAAAAGTGCGCACGACATCGCGTGGTGATCGTCATGATGATCTTTTGCCACATACATTTACGCCTAATACTCGTGGATTGCCTCTTTATCGATGGAGCATGTTTTTCCATTGCCAATAATCCCTATCATACTTTCACCGTCAATCTCTCGTCCTAAAGCATATTTTCCACGAGTTTCTGTGCAGAATGTACAGAGCTAATCTCAAATGGAATCAATAAGCAGTAAAAAGTATAACATAGTCGGAAGACTAGGCTGATCAAAATGATTCAAATTGGGCGAAAGGACGCACCTTTTTGAATTCTCTCGTTTTTGGGACGGCGTAGCCTCGTCGTGACTGGAGGCACAACCGCCTCAGCGCGTGTGATGCGGCCACGCATCCTCCTAAACCATAACGTAGAACGTTTTTGTGACGACAACCTTTCGAATTGGTCGTATTCACGAAGAAGAATGAAGCAAAAACGAAGAACGAATAAATAAAATGAACGGCTATGAAAATAGGCGCGGATTTATTGAATAACTCTTACACTGGGCAAAAAAGTTTGTTTGTTTGCTTTTGCATAGGACATGGTATTTTCTGAGCCATGTTCAAAGCCTGATATTTTGACGACCATTCTCTTTAATGCACATGTAATCGCTAAAGGAGGATTCCACAATAAGTTGCTCAAAAAAAAAGAAACATGGTCAATGGAAAGAGGGAGGGATTTTTAGGGTGTGAACCGACATGCAAGTAACAGTAAAGGATATGGTACAGACTATGCCCTGTCGATTTAGCATGGCAATCCCCGCGCCGCTAGCGCAGCCCCGCCCACCGGCTGGCTAATCACCCCCATATTTCTCTAGCCGTTTAGCAGAGAGAGCGCTTAGCGTTGAAGAGGGCAGCACCGATGAGAGTCGCATCAATGCGGAAATCAACGGGCAAAGAAGGGTCTAATTTCTCGGGTCTGAGTTGTCTTTCTTGATTTTTCTCCATAAGCTGGAACCACTGACCAGATTTACCTCAATTCTAATGGGCTACCTTCTAATCTTGAACTTCGTCCTTGAGCAATATAGATGAAAGGCGACTGGCTGTTCAGAGTGAGTTGGACCGGAGCGGAATGCAAACCTCCCGAGGACGAGAATTTGGCCAAGAGGACCGCTCATTTGACCACAAGAATCGTGTCCAATTTGATGAAATTATAATAAATTATGAACTGTGGAATTAATGAGAATTAGATTCAGCAGGATCAGCAGTTAGCGCGGAATAAGGTGTATTGGCACCCGGGTTGTGCATCGCTCGGACCAACCAAACCTCCCATCACTTTGGGGTCAGGTAACTGGCACTAGACTGGTCTGAAAAAAAAGAATAAATACACTGACTTTCACATGCCCCTGAGGTCGTTATGTAACCATTCTGTATTCAAGTGCTACTACGATTCTCAATGGAAGTAAAATGCATGGCCCATCCCAAAAAAGGATTGTTCTTCATAGTTCACCTTTCAGTATTTGATGCTGGAGAATTTGGAAGCAAGAAGTGCGCACAGCATTCAATGTGCATTCTACAGCGGTTTCCACAGCCATGCAAAAACTCCGAAAGGTTATCTAATAGAAGCGCAACAACATAAGAAACTTGCTGTGAATAGTCGTCTTTCGAGGTAATAATGTCGAAGGCGTAACACGCAACATCTCCATCATACTGTTCAGATTATTCAAAATAGTGCAGTGACTTCTCAGAAGAAGAGCCAGAAGAAATATCCCACGCCTACTTTAAAGATTGGTAGTGATCATTGGTGTGTTGTTCCGCTGAGACTGAGCAAGAGGCATTAACACAGGAGAACAAAGAGGGGGTCGTATTTGACCTGAAGAAAGGGAATCGTATAACGAGGAAACCAGCAGGGGATGCATAGCGATCCTCAGCTGCTGAGAAGTGGAGGGGATGTGCAATGTAGTAGGAAGTTAATTTGTGAGAAAATGTGATCAAATATAATTTACAAAGAACCAATAAAATATAACAATAATAACAAGTGAAACAAGTGAAACAGGATCACCATGACACACACAACTACATTCGCGACACTCTCACCGTCTCCAGGGAAGTGGAGGACCTTCAAATGCCAGTGCGACTGCTAATCGCTGACAGGTTCACGGTGTATCCCTTAGCTTCTCAAAACAATTTCTGTCAGCGGCCGTTAGCAGACAGATTTCTTCACAAAGAAGCTTGATGCTTTCAAACCAAATCTAAGTGGAGGAAAGTGCAACGAATTCGTTGGATTCACTACTAAAAAATTCTGTCAGAACGATTTCTAGGAAAATTACGCATGTGTCATAAAGAACTATTCATATAGACTCCAATGTTTTTACCGCTTCTCATCTTTCCAATTCTGAAAAAAAATTATGGGGGTTTAAAGATTGAAGAGTCGCGTTCTAGGAAAATGGCCTTAAAAGTCATTGAGGAAAAAACGGAACAACGGGACGATTTTTCGAAAGAGTGGTCATTCAGAAAATCTTGATATTTTTCAAAAGCGTCAATCTTCTAGTTTCTAATTAGCTTTGAAAATCTGCAAAAATTAATAATGAAGGAAGTTATGAACGTTTGAATGACGAAAACTCGCGCAAAAATCGGACCACAAACCCCTAAAAAACGGAACAACGGGACTATTTTTTGAGAGAGTGATCTTTGGAAAAGTCAGGTGCTTGTTTGAAAGCGCTAATCTTCTAGTTTCTAATTAGCCTTGAACATCTGCAAAAAGTTGATTATGAAGAAAGTTATGAATGTTTGAATGTCGAAAACTCGCGTGTGCACAAAAAACGGAACAACGGGACGATTTTTTGAAGAATTGAACATTTGCAAGTTTAAAATCTTTTTAGGGAAGAAACAGTTTGAAGTTTTTGATTTTTCATGAGACCGCTGTTGAAAAATCGAAGAGCAATCAATGTCAGAAATGAAGGTTGTAAGGAAGCATAACGGTGAAATATTGTAATTATTCAAAAGCGCCTAACAGATGGTTTCTGGGATATTAAAACCCCAAAACAAGTTCCGATTCAATTCAGAATTGTGAGTTAAAGATATACATATAAACTTCAATATGGCCTTCACATCGATATTAGGAGAAAACCACTTTTTCAGCAGCTTGATCCTCCCAGACAACTTTGCTGAAGAAAGGGAGCAGCTTTCCTCAGATTTGGCAGCAAAAAAGAGATCAAATTCACACGCTGGTCGTAGAACAACATCTTCTGCGGAGTGACCTCGCCTCGATGTGAAAAACAAGTCTTGGAGAAGCTTTGTGTGGTCATGAAATGCTATCTACCACGGAAAAGCCATCGTAAAGGTGG